CAAGTGGTCTATCTACAATTAACGAATAGTAATTCTTATAATTGGAATTAAGTTTAAAAGGTGATGAGCCAATAAGATTACAGCTAGTCTCTCCGTTTGCTCCTCCATCTTTATCTGTCACCGTCACCAAAGCAACGACGCTTCCGGTTTCTGCATCTTCTCTCACTGCGTTCATGAGTAACGTCACCACAATTTCTGGCGTATTGTCATTAACATCTGCTACCTCGATCAGGAGCTTTCCGTTAGCTCTCCGAGGTGACGCGCCTCTATCTGTAGCTTGAACGTGAATTTCATACGCTCGTTGTGCTTCAAAGTCTAACTGACCTTTGACACTGATCTCACCCGTTTCCGCGTTTAGATCAAACAAATCAGAGGGATTAATATTTGCACGTTTGACAAAAGAGTAAATTACTTTCCCGTTATCTCCTTCGTCTAAATCCGTGGCGTTAAGTTGAATAACTAATGATCCAACTGCAGCGTTTTCATTAACTCGAGCCTTGTACAGAGATTTACTGAAAGATGGCGGGTTATCATTTGCATCTAGAACATTAATAATTATCCGAACGGTTCCAGTGTGGGGAGGTCTTCCTCCATCCACAGCTGTTAGTGTGAGTCCAACAACATTCTGTCTTTCTCGATCTAAAGCTTTCAGCAGCACCAGCTCGGCAGACGCGCTGTGCTCTCCTCCACTCTGCACAACGAGGGAGAAGTACTCGTTTGGGCTCAGCTTGTACGTTTTTACTGAATTGCTGCTCGTGTCCGCGTCGACAGCTAAAGGAAGCAAGAAACGCTCGCCTGTCGGCGAGGATTCAGATATATTAACCGAAAATGATTTTTCAAAGAAAGTAGGCACGTTGTCATTGATGTCAACAACCACTACCTCAATGCGTCTGTGCACCACGGGATCACTCAGTATAGCCTCCAAGTTTAATGTGCACGTATTCTTATTGGGGCAGAATTCCTCGCGATCGATTCTGTCATTAATTAAAAGGTCTCCTGTTTTAAAATTTGGCTCGAAATATTTCTTACTGTATCCCGAAACGATATTAAGATTCCTCGCTTGCAGGTCCCGAACGTTCACATTTAAATCCTTTGCGAGGTTCCCGACCACAGTTCCTTTGTCCGCCTCCTCATTTATGGAGTATAATATCTGAGCAGCAGACCAGTCGGACACACACAGCACTAGAAGCGCACAGAGAATCCAATAATCCCCTCCACTGTCCATCGTGGATTATAACGAGATCCAGAATATGCCCATCCATAAAACGTTATTCGATAAAGAACATTTTAAGATCCAACCGCGCCACTCCTCGCCTGCTTCTCACCACCCGCGTTCACTGCACAAAGCAAGCACGGGCTACTGCGACTGAACGAGGAAAGGAGGAGACAGAAAACCCAGATATCAGGGAAAGTATGGTCATCAGCGACCCCGCGCGTAGCAATTCAGCCAGGAATGAGATGAGTTCACATTCTCTTGTCATTCCAAAATATTTCAAATGTGATAAAGTAAAACACAACGTTTTAGTTAATTAATATGAATCGTGTATTTGTCCTCTACATTTACAAATAAACCCTCAATTATTAACGTTGTATTTATTTTATCTTAGTTTAAATAAAATAGTACAGAACATAAAAACCCGCCACTGCGTGATTTTAGTTATTTAAAGGATTCACCAACAGGAAATGTATGCTCGACAGAAACAAGATGCCACATTGCATTGAGCTGAATTTCAGAACCATGGAGAGCACCCAATGAAAAATAATTACGGTTACTTAGCAATTAAAATGCCCTAAGAGAGAACTTAGTTCGGATTTCAAATTCCACTGTGCATCTGCTTATAATGGAGAATCATTTGAGGCACACGTTGAAAACATAAAAAGACATATTTGCAAAACTCACCTTTTCTTGGTTAGGTAAGGTCTGAGTTCTGGTAAAAGTGTCTCCTCCATTAATACTGATCAGTTCAGCATCTACAGGCGGGAACGGGGCGGGGAAAACCACTACGTCACTCTTCAGTGTGTCGGAGCTGAAACACACGTCATACTGCTGAGTAGCTTTAGAGTAAGACCAGCTCCCGTCAGGGTGGGTGGTGATCATCGGGGCGCTGTACCTGCTGAAACCACCGTCTGTCCTGTGGCATCTGACAGCTATTAGACTGATCAGACTCAGCAGAAAGACGACCGACACCGACACGATGGCGATCAGCAGATACAGGTTCAGATCCGAGAAGCTGTCCTCCTTTAGAGGCACGTTTCTGAACTGAGTCTGGATGTCAGCTGTGCTTTCAACCACCACCACATCAATAGACACAGTAGCTGACAGAGAAGGCTCTCCGTTATCAGAAACCAGCACCACCAAGGGGTGACTCTTCAGGTCGTTGTCGCTCATCCTCCTCTTAGTCCTGATCTCCCCGGTGCTGGTTCCGATCCTGAACAGGTTGTTTCCTTTGGGCTCCGTCAGGTGATAAGAAAGCAGCGCATTGTATCCAGAATCTGCGTCCACAGCCCTGATCTTTGCTACAAAGTACCCTGCTTCAGCAGAATAGGGGATGGTCTCACTGTTAACAGAACCCAGCTCAGAATAAGGAGCCAGAATTGTTGGATTGTTGTCATTTTCATCCAGGATTAAAACGTTAACAGTCACATTGCTGCTGAGTGGAGGAACACCAGAGTCTGTGGCCTGAACTTTAAACTGAAATGTTTTTAGCTCCTCGTAGTTAAAAGACTGCAGGCTGATGATGTCTCCGGTCTCTGAGTTGATGTTTAAAACAGATGATGTTGGAATATTTCTGGGAGAAATGTCCAACAACTTGTAGGTAACTTTTCCGTTTTCATCCAGATCAGAATCAATGGCGCTGATTGTGTAAATAACAGAGCCTATTACGCTGTTTTCTTTAATATAAACATTAATGGCAGGCTCTAAAAATTGAGGGGGGTTATCATTGACATCAGATATTTGAATTGTAATGACCCGGATGCTGGACAGAGGTGGACTCCCCTCATCTGTAGCTGTAATGGTGACGTTATAAAGAGAAGTGTTTTCTCTGTCCAGTGGTCCATCTACTACTAACGAATAATCATGTTTATAGTTTGATTTTAGTTTAAAGGGAACAGACCCAACAACACTGCACTTAGTGACACCGTTGTTCCCTCCATCTTTATCAACCACCGTTAAAAATGCAATAATTGTACCCAGTTGAGCGTCTTCCCTAACAGGAGTCATTAGTGACGTCACAGATATTTCTGGAGCGTTATCATTAACATCTATTACTTCTATCAAAAGTTTAGCATGAGTGCTACGAGGGACGGGGCCTTGGTCTTTGGCCTGGACTCTGATTTCATAAGCCCGCGTTTCTTCATGATCTAATTCACCTTTAACTGATATTTCTCCTGTTTCAGAATTTAGATAAAAAATATCTGATAAATCAACATTTCCTCTCTTGATGAACAAATATCGAACCTGGCCGTGCATTCCTTCATCTAAATCTGTTGCATTTAATTTAATAACAAACGATCCGGGAACAGCATTTTCTTTAACCTGCACTTTATAAAGGGAGTTGCTGAACACAGGTGTGTTGTCGTTCACGTCTAAAACATTAACAAGGAGCTGTAAAGTCCCTGATCTCGGTGGTTTACCTCCATCTACCGCCGTCAGAACAAGCTTAATCACAGACTGTTTCTCTCGGTCTAAAGCTTTCTGCAGCAGCAGCTCTGCAGACACACCGTGTTCTCCACTCTGAACATCAAGCGAGAAATATTCATTCTGGTTTAGCTTGTAGCTCGTTACTGCGTTGCTTCCTGTGTCTGCGTCCAGCGCCACTGGGAGGGGAAATCTCTCTCCTGGTGACTGCGATTCCGAGATGTTTAAGTAAAGCGTATTTTCTACAAACGCAGGCGAGTTATCATTTATGTCAAGAATGCTGATTTCTATTCGGTATAAATTCATTGGATTGTTCAGAGCAGCTTGTATTTTGATGGAGCATTTGTCGACATGCGGACAAAGCTCCTCTCTGTCTATTCGCTCCGATATAAAGAGGTTCCCCGTGCGCAAATTCACATCAAAATATGTCTTACTGAAACTGGAAACAATGCGTAAATCTCTGGCCTCCAAATCACGTAAATTTAGATTCAAATCCTTTGCAATATTCCCAACAATAGTCCCTTTGTCCACCTCCTCGGAAACAGAATAGGTTAACTGGGAAGCAGAGCAGTCACAAAGCCAAAGCAGCAGAACCACAAAAATCCAAGTGCGTCCTTTTGCTCCGTCCCACAACATCGTTGACACGGAAAACAACCGTAATCCAGTGGGTCATTAATCTACAAAGCTATTGTTTCATGCAGGAAAAGCGTTCCGTTTTAAGCGTCTTGTCGTCTACCGTATGGTGAAGTGGCACAGCAATGGTGGTGCTCGATGACGGGTTATTCTAATCAACATGTACGCAGGAGGAGCTGTGTAAGTTAAATTATTATAAAGGTCTCTTGCGACATCTAGTGGGAGAACGTTCATTAAATAGTGTTTCGTCTTAACTATCTTTTAATTTCAATAGAATTCAATCTGGAACACAGATAGTATTTTTTACCATGGAATACGTTTAAGTAAACATTTAATGACTTCAACAAGTAATAAATTAAAAAGAGTTATATTTTCTTTGATATACGATTATTTATAATATATGTTTTAATCCGTTTCAAGTAACAAAACTAAAGCAAAGTTCCCAAAACTATGTTGTTTTCAAGTGTTATTAATAAAAAGAGAATCAAACTAAAATATTTTGAGCTAATCAGATCCAAATGAATGTGTGAACGTTGACTTATGCTGTTCAGTATCGTACTATCTTAATCAAAGTCCTGATAAGTGAAATCGTTTTTTATTTTAACAAAAATAAATAAATAAATAAAAATTACAAAAGATACATACATTTTCTATCGTTTTAATTGTTTTAAATATGTATGAATCTTGTTTAAAAGAAAACAATTGTTCAAAAGAGTATGCTATAAATATGCCACCAAATAAAAATATTGCTTTTTAGAAGGATATAAATATTTTTGAAGGAGAAGAAACAAACCAAACGCGTTGTAAGTCTAGACATGCTCAGAACCACGGACAGCGCCACTTCACGGTAGGTTAACAAATCCTTTGCTGTTTTATTGTTATCTCTTAATATCACATTTTATTGTCAAACCCAAACATACCTTAAGTGCAACTGGGTGATTTATGTTTAATTGTGCTAAACTGCTATGGGCAGAATGTATTTCTAAGAAGAACCGATCTACTAACCTAATTGCAGTCACAGCAGGTATGAGATACAAATCTTTAAACATGCAAACGTTTGCCTTCGAAAAATAAATAAATTTAAGTCATTTTAAATTACAACGAAGACAAAATGAACATTTTATTATATCAATGCAGTTGCCTTTGCATTTTCTAGTATTTACAGAGACATATCTCCTGCTATTAAAACAGTTTTTGGTATCTTAGTAATAAAATAGTATTTGTGATTGAAAAAAGAGCATTGTCGGTATAGTGACTAAAGGGGGAAAGCATTGTGCCCAAATATAAATAGATTAGAGTAGAAAAACTCAATGATTAAAAAATAAATTATTGACCGGAGATTTGAGGAAAAATGTTAATCAAAAAACAATTAATTATCTAACTAAAATCAATTTCAACTGCAAGTTCAAACATTTTGCTAAATATTTATGGACTAAGTCAGAAATTTAAATCACTTAAGTGGTGAGAATCACATCACATGGATCACTATTTGTCGTTATAATTGTGCATTTTGCAAAACGTTCAAACAGTAAATCTCAGATAGCTTACCTTGTCATTGCTAGGTAAGGTCTGCGTTCTGGTAAAAGTGTCTCCTCCATTAATACTGATCAGTTCAGCATCTACAGGCGGGAACGGGGCGGGGAAAACCACTACGTCACTCTTCAGTGTGTCTGAGCTGAAACACACGTCATACTGCTGAGTAGCTTTAGAGTAAGACCAGCTCCCGTCAGGGTGGGTGGTGATCATCGGGGCGCTGTACCTGCTGAAACCACCGTCTGTCCTGTGGCATCTGACAGCTATTAGACTGATCAGACTCAGAAGAAAGACGACCGACACCGACACGATGGCGATCAACAGATACAGGTTCAGATCCGAGAAGCTGTCCTCCTTTAGAGGCACGTTTCTGAACTGAGTCTGGATGTCAGCTGTGCTTTCAACCACCACCACATCAATAGACACAGTAGCTGACAGAGAAGGCTCTCCGTTATCAGAAACCAGCACCACCAAGGGGTGACTCTTCAGGTCGTTGTCGCTCATCCTCCTCTTAGTCCTGATCTCCCCGGTGCTGGTTCCGATCCTGAACAGGTTGTTTCCTTTGGGCTCCGTCAGGTGATAAGAAAGCAGCGCATTGTATCCAGAATCTGCGTCCACAGCCCTGATCTTTGCTACAAAGTACCCTGCTTCAGCAGAATAGGGGATGGTCTCACTGTTAACAGAACCCAGCTCAGAATAAGGAGCCAGAATTGTTGGATTGTTGTCATTTTCATCCAGGATTAAAACGTTAACAGTCACGTTGCTGCTGAGTGGAGGAACACCAGAGTCTGTGGCCTGAACTTTAAACTGAAATGTTTTTAGCTCCTCGTAGTTAAAAGACTGCAGGCTGATGATGTCTCCAGTCTCTGAGTTGATGTTTAAAACAGATGATGTTGGAATATTCCTGGGAGAAATGTCCACCAACTTATAGGTAACTTTTGCGTTTTCATCCAGATCAGAATCAATGGTGCTTGCTGTGTAAATAACAGAGCCTACTGCGCTGTTTTCTTTAATATAAACATTGATGACAGGCTCTAAAAATCGTGGGGAGTTATCATTAACATCAGATAGTTTAACAGTTATGACCCGGATGCTGGACAGAGGTGGACTCCCTTCATCTGTAGCTGTAATGGTGACGTTATAAAGAGAAGTGTTTTCTCTGTCCAATGGTCCATCTACTACTAACGAATACTCATTTTTATAATTAGATTTTAGTTTAAAGGGAACAGACCCAACAACACTGCACTTAGTGACACCGTTGTTCCCTCCATCTTTATCAGCCACCGTTAAAAATGCAATAATTGTACCCAGTTGAGCGTCTTCCCTAACAGGAGTCATTAGTGACGTCACAGATATTTCTGGAGCGTTATCATTAACATCGATTACTTCTATCAAAAGTTTAGCATGAGTGCTACGAGGGACGGGGCCTTGGTCTTTGGCCTGGACTCTGATTTCATAAGCCCGCGTTTCTTCATGATCTAATTCGCCTTTAACTGATATTTCTCCTGTTTCAGAATTTAGATAAAAAATATCTGATAAATCAAAATTTCCTCTCTTGATGAACAAATATCGAATCTGGCCGTTCATTCCTTCATCTAAATCTGTTGCATTTAATTTAATAACAAACGATCCGGGAACAGCATTTTCTTTAACCTGCACTTTATAAAGGGAGTTGCTGAACACAGGTGTGTTGTCGTTCACGTCTAAAACATTAACAAGCAGCTGTAAAGTCCCTGATCTCGGTGGTTTACCTCCATCTACCGCCGTCAGAACAAGCTTAATCACAGACTGTTTCTCTCGGTCTAAAGCTTTCTGCAGCAGCAGCTCTGCAGACACACCGTGTTCTCCACTCTGAACATCAAGCGAGAAATATTCATTCTGGTTTAGCTTGTAGCTCGTTACTGCGTTACTTCCTGTGTCTGCGTCCAGCGCCACTGGGAGGGGAAATCTCTCTCCTGGTGACTGCGATTCCCAGATATTTAAGTAAAGCGTATTTTCTACAAACGCAGGCGAGTTATCATTTATGTCAATAATGCTGATTTCTATTCGGTATAAATTCATTGGATTGTTCAGAGCAGCTTGTATTTTGATGGAGCATTTGTCGACATGCGGACAAAGCTCCTCTCTGTCTATTCGCTCCGATATAAAGAGGTTCCCCGTGCGCAAATTCACATCAAAATATGTCTTACTGAAACTGGAAACAATGCGTAAATCTCTGGCCTCCAAATCACGTAAATTTAGATTCAAATCCTTTGCAATATTCCCAACAATAGTCCCTTTGTCCACCTCCTCGGAAACAGAATAGGTTAACTGGGAAGCAGAGCAGTCACAAAGCCAAAGCAGCAGAACCACAAAAATCCAAGTGCGTCCTTTTGCTCCGTCCCACAACATCGTTGACACGGAAAACAACCGTAATCCAGTGGGTCATTAATCTACAAAGCTATTGTTTCATGCAGGAAAAGCGTTCCGTTTTAAGCGTCTTGTCGTCTACCGTATGGTGAAGTGGAAAAGCAATGGTGGTGCTCGATGACGGGTTATTCTAATCAACATGTACGCAGGAGGAGCTGTGTGAGTTAAATTATTATAAAGGTCTCGTGCGACATCTAGTGGGAGAACGTTCATGAAATAGTGTTTCGTCTTTACTATCTTTTAATTTCAATAGAATTCAAACAGGAACAACACAGATATTATTTTTACCATGGAATACGTTTAAGTAATCCTTTAATGACTTCAGCGAGTAATAAATTAAAAAGAGTTATATTTTCTTTGATACACGATTATTTATAATAGATATTTTAATCCGTTTCAAGTAACAAAACTAAAGCAAAGTTCCCAAAACTATGTTGTTTTCAAGAGTTATTAATAAAAAGAGAATCAAACTAAAATATTTTGAGCTAATCAGATCCAAATGAATGTGTGAACGCTGACTTATGCTGTTCAGTATCGTACTATCTTAATCAAAGTCCTGATAAATGAAATCGTTTTTTATTTTACCAAAAATAAATAAGTAAATAAAAATTACAAAAGATACATACATTTTCTATCGTTTTATTTGTTTTAAATATGTATGAATCTTGTTTAAAAGAAAACAATTGTTCAAAAGAGTATGCTATATATGTTGTATTGGTTCCAAAGTGCTAGATGAGAAATAAAAATTCCACCAAATAAAAATATTGCTTTTTAGAAGGACATAAATATTTTTGAAGGAGAAGAAACAAACCAAACGCGTTGTAAGTCTAGACATGCTCAGAACCACGGACAGCGCCATTTCACGGTAGGTTAACAAATCCTTTGCTGTTTAATTCTTATCTCTTAATATCACATTTTATTGTCAAACCCAAACATACCTTAAGTGCAACTGGGTGATTTATGTTTAATTGTGCTAAACTGATATGTGCAAAATGTATTTCTAAGAAAAACCGATCTACTAACCTAATTTGCAGTCATACAGCAGGTATGAGATACAAATCTCTATGCAAACGTTTGCTTTCAAAAAATAAATAAATTTAAGTGATTTTAAATTACAACGAAGACAAAATGAACCTTTTATTATATCAATGCAGCTGCCTTTACATTTTCTAGTATTTACAGATACATACTGTATCTCCTGCTATTAAAACAGTTTTTGGTATCTTAGTAATAAATTTGTATTTGTGATTGAAAAAAAGAGCATTGTTGGTATAGTGATTAAAGGGGGAAAGCATTGTGACCAAATTTAAATAGATTAGAGTAGAAAAACTCAATGATTAAAAAATAAATTATTGACCGGAGATTTGAGGAAAAATGTTAATCAAAAAACAATTAATTATCTAACTAAAATCAATTTCAACTGCAAGTTCAAACATTTTGCTGAATATTTAAGGAATAAGTCAGAAATTTAAATCACTTAAGTGGTGAGAATCACATCACATGGATCACTATTTGTCGTTATAATTGTGCATTTTGCAAAACGTTCAAACTGTGAATCTCAGATAGCTTACCTTGTCATTGTTAGGTAAGGTCTGAGTTCTGGTAAAAGTGTCTCCTCCATTAATACTGATCAAATCAGCATCTACAGGTGGGAACGGGGCGGGGAAAACCACTACGTCACTCTTCAGTGTGTCTGAGCTGAAACACACGTCATACTGCTGAGTAGCTTTAGAGTAAGACCAGCTCCCGTCAGGGTGGGTGGTGATCATTGGGGCGCTGTACCTGCTGAAACCACCGTCTGTCCTGTGGCATCTGACAGCTATTAGACTGATCAGACTCAGCAGAAAGACGACCGACACCGACACGATGGCGATCAGCAGATACAGGTTCAGATCCGAGAAGCTGTCCTCCTTTAGAGGCACGTTTCTGAACTGAGTCTGGATGTCAGCTGTGCTTTCAACCACCACCACATCAATAGACACAGTAGCTGACAGAGAAGGCTCTCCGTTATCAGAAACCAGCACCACCAAGGGGTGACTCTTCAGGTCGTTGTCGCTCATCCTCCTCTTAGTCCTGATCTCCCCGGTGCTGGTTCCGATCCTGAACAGGTTGTTTCCTTTGGGCTCCGTCAGGTGATAAGAAAGCAGCGCATTGTATCCAGAATCTGCGTCCACAGCCCTGATCTTTGCTACAAAGTATCCTGCTTCAGCAGAATAGGGGATGGTCTCACTGTTAACAGAACCCAGCTCAGAATAAGGAGCCAGAATTGTTGGATTGTTGTCATTTTCATCCAGGATTAAAACGTTAACAGTCACGTTGCTGCTGAGTGGAGGAACACCAGAGTCTGTGGCCTGAACTTTAAACTGAAATGTTTTTAGCTCCTCGTAGTTAAAAGACTGCAGGCTGATGATGTCTCCAGTCTCTGAGTTGATGTTTAAAACAGATGATGTTGGAATATTTCTGGGAGAAATATCCAACAACTTATAGGTAACTTTTGCGTTTTCATCCAGATCAGAATCAATGGTGCTTGCTGTGTAAATAACAGAGCCTACTGCACTGTTTTCTTTAATATAAACATTAATGACAGGCTCTAAAAATCGTGGGGAGTTATCATTAACATCAGATAGTTTAACAGTTATGACCCGGATGCTGGACAGAGGTGGACTCCCCTCATCTGTAGCTGTAATGGTGACGTTATAAAGAGAAGTGTTTTCTCTGTCCAGTGGTCCATCTACTACTAACGAATAATCATTTTTATAATTTGATTTTAGTTTAAAGGGAACAGACCCAACAACACTGCACTTAGTGACACCGTTGTTCCCTCCATCTTTATCACTGACTGTAACCAATGCCACAATTGTGCCCATTTGTGCGTCTTCTCTTACAGGAGTCATTAATGACGTCACGGATATTTCTGGAGCGTTATCATTTATATCTATTACTTCTATCAGTAGTTTAGCATGAGTGCTACGAGGAGAAGCTCCTTGGTCTTTGGCTTGGACTCTGATTTCATAAGCAGGCGTGTCTTCATAATCAAGACTGCTTTTTAAAGTAATTAACCCCGTTTCTGATTCTATTTCAAAAACATTTGACTTATCAGAATTGCTTCTCTTAATAAAGGAATACAGTATTTTACTGTTAATGCCTTCGTCTAAATCAGTTGCATTTAATTTTATTAACACGGTTCCTGGTGCAGAGTTTTCATTAACTCGAACTTTAAAGAGAGATTTGCTGAAAACTGGAGGACTGTCATTTGCATCTATTACATTAACATGTATATGTAAGGAACCCGATCTAGCTGGCTTTCCTCCATCCACAGCGGTTAGAATGAGAGTAATGATCGGCTGCTTTTCTCGGTCTAACGCTTTTTCAAGCACCAATTCCGGAGACAAACCATGCTCACCAGTGCTCTGAACGTCAAGGGAAAAATGCTCATTTTGATTAAGCTTGTAGCCCTTGACCGAGTTGCTGCCTATATCTGCATCTTCTGCTATTGGCAGAAGATAGCGTTCACCTGAAGACACTGATTCAGAAATGTTTAACAAATACGAATAGGCACTAAACTCTGGCGAGTTATCATTTGCATCCAAAATGTTCACTTCCACACGATGTGCAGTCATGGGGTTGGTTAAAACAGCCTGTATTCCAAGGGTGCAGCGTGCCGTCTTCCCGCACAGCTCCTCTCTGTCTAGTCTCTCGCTAACAACGAGATTTCCAGACATTAAATTAACATCGAAATATTTCTTACTGTAGCTCGACACAATGTTAATTTCCCTGGTCTCGAGATCTTGCACCTTTAAATTCAAATCCTTTGCGATGTTTCCCACCACGGTGCCTTTGTTCACCTCCTCGGGGATCGAGTATAACAGTGAAGCAGAACCGTTACAAAAACACAACAGCACAAGAAAACAAATCCCAGCATGTTCCGCGTTCCCCATGTTTAAAAGGTAAAACGCAACGTCCCAAATCCGATTATTCCAGTATATTTAAAAACACGGGCATCCTGCAACAGCAGCAGCTCATCTCACCACAGCACAATAGCAGAGTCTCAGAGAGCCAATGATTGTTTAGTTTAGTCCGTGCAGGGTGGAGTTTTCTTTTGTACGCCTAGTAATATTGGATCTATGGTCTCAAGTGACACCACGTGGTGAAACTAAGGAAAGACATTTTAAAACAATGAGGCCCACTATTTCTTTTGTAGAACAAATTCACAAGGATAAAAAAAATCCAAGAATATAAACATATGAAATACATTTATATTGTCCAGCCACCTTACTTTTAATTTTGACGCAACATCTACGGGGGGACTGATTTCAGCACAATGGACAGCGCCGCCACATCATGAACTACACAATTGGATGTTTAAACAAAACTATTCTTTAGAGATTGTGTTGATTAAACAAATAATTTTCTTTAGGGTATAACACATCGTTTAGTAGAAATGTTTGGCTCATGTATTGTTTATGAATATGTTCACCGAGACTACATTTGGAGAACAGGAAAACTCTGGTGTTTTCCGGTAGGGATGGATTAGCGGTAATGGGTTTTATAATAAGTGTGTTTAATGCAGACGTTCATCTAAAATCAAACCTCGTCTCACAAAACCAAATTTTACACTCTCGTACCACCACCACAACGTCTAAATCTGCTCTGTCCTGTATAAAAAAAGACAGATGAAAATGTCCTCAGATGTATGAAATAACTGTATGGAAGAATGTTGCCACTTAAAAAATAAAATAATAATAATAATAATAATAATAATAATAATAATAATAATAATAATAATCTGATGACTGCAAATAGAGGAATATTTTTCCCAAAACCTTGTTGCAGAAATTGATCATTAAAAATATATATTGTCAAAACACTATCTTACCTTGTCTTTGTTAGGTAAGGTCTGAGTTCTGGTAAAAGTGTCTCCTCCATTAATACTGATCAGTTCAGCATCTACAGGCGGGAACGGGGCGGGGAAAACCACTACGTCACTCTTCAGTGTGTCTGAGCTGAAACACACGTCATACTGCTGAGTAGCTTTAGAGTAAGACCAGCTCCCGTCAGGGTGGGTGGTGATCATCGGGGCGCTGTACCTGCTGAAACCACCGTCTGTCCTGTGGCATCTGACAGCTATTAGACTGATCAGACTCAGCAGAAAGACGACCGACACCGACACGATGGCGATCAACAGATACAGGTTCAGATCCGAGAAGCTGTCCTCCTTAAGAGGCACGTTTCTGAACTGAGTCTGGATGTCAGCTGTGCTTTCAACCACCACCACATCAATAGACACAGTAGCTGACAGAGAAGGCTCTCCGTTATCAGAAACCAGCACCACCAAGGGGTGACTCTTCAGGTCGTTGTCGCTCATCCTCCTCTTAGTCCTGATCTCCCCGGTGCTGGTTCCTATCCTGAACAGGTTGTTTCCTTTGGGCTCCGTCAGGTGATAAGAAAGCAGCGCATTGTATCCAGAATCTGCGTCCACAGCCCTGATCTTTGCTACAAAGTACCCTGCTTCAGCAGAATAGGGGATGGTCTCACTGTTAACAGAACCCAGCTCAGAATAAGGAGCCAGAATTGTTGGATTGTTGTCATTTTCATCCAGGATTAAAACGTTAACAGTCACGTTGCTGCTGAGTGGAGGAACACCAGAGTCTGTGGCCTGAACTTTAAACTGAAACGTTTTTAGCTCCTCGTAGTTAAAAGACTGCAGGCTGACGATGTCTCCAGTCTCTGAGTTGATGTTTAAAACAGATGATGTTGGAATATTTCTGGGAGAAATGTCCAACAACTTATAGGTAACTTTTCCGTTTTCATCCAGATCAGAATCAATGGCGCTGATTGTGTAAATAACAGAGCCTACTGCGCTGTTTTCTTTAATATAAACATTAATGACAGGCTCTAAAAATTGAGGGGGGCTGTCATTAACATCAGATACTTGAATGGTAATGACCCGGATGCTGGACAGAGGTGGACTCCCTTCATCTGTAGCTGTAATGGTGACGTTATAAAGAGAAGTGTTTTCTCTGTCCAATGGTCCATCTACTACTAACGAATAATCATTTTTATAATTTGATTTTAGTTTAAAGGGAACAGACCCAACAACACTGCACTTAGTGACACCGTTGTTCCCTCCATCCTTATCACTGACTGTAACTAATGCAACGATTGTACCCAGTTGTGCGTCTTCTCTCACAGGAGTCATTAGTGACGTCACGGATATTTCTGGAGCGTTATCATTAACATCTATTACTTCTATCAAAAGTTTAGCATGAGTGCTACGAGGGACGGGGCCTTGATCTTTGGCCTGGACTCTGATTTCATAAGCCCGCGTTTCTTCATGATCTAATTCACCTTTAACTGATATTTCTCCTGTTTCAGAATTTAGATGAAAAATATCTGATAAATCAACATTTCCTCTCTTGATGAACAAATATCGAATCTGGCCGTTCATTCCTTCATCTAAATCTGTTGCATTTAATTTAATAACAAACGATCCGGGAACAGCATTTTCTTTAACCTGCACTTTATAAAGGGAGTTGCTGAACACAGGTGTGTTGTCGTTCACGTC